CTCCATTATGTTGTGCTCCTTCTCTCACTAATGATTTTTCGTCTGAGTACAATCCAAATCCTGCTGAGTTAATTTCCAAATGTGCTCTTTCTGGCTATGGAAATAGCAGTGCAGTTTTTTTAGAAACACAGTTTGAGGTGCAGATATATTTTTAACAAATATGTACCTAACTAGTAGTGCCTTCATGTGTTTCTGCTGAAAAGATGTTGGATACAATACAAGCAGAGAAGTTTCTACTGAATGTATTATGTAAGTTAATGAAGTGCCTGGATGTGAAGGGTTTTCCCTCTAAATCACAGCTGAAAACATTTCCTCTAGTGATCTCACTCCTGGCTTAAGGCTTTCTTCTGCAGTGTAATTTCCCTCAGGTTTGTGTAATCCCATTTGTGCATCTTGAGACTTTTAGTTTTGGAACTAATATTTTAAGCATCAGGAACTTGGTGCATTCGGAAGCAGAATAGACCTTTTTTTGATCCAGCACAGTAATTGTTGTGAATATAGCTGCTATATTTTATTTTTTTTGTGTACATAGAATCTGGCAGATTTTAATCATTTGCTTTTTAGAGGTTGATTAATCAAGTTCAGGAACTTTAAAAATACATTCCACCAGTTATTTAAAACAAAAATATACTTGTGTGCTTTCCACCTTTGAATTTTAAATATGTAATTTCTCCAGCAGAAACTTAGTCTGTTCTGTGAGTGGAATTCTGCTGGCTTTTCTGGCATTGTAATAAATCTTTGGTTATCTAGGACATTAAGGCCCAATTTGATTTTACATTTGACAGCAGAACTCTTTATTTCTATTTCAAACGCTCATACTCTCTCATTATGGTTAACGTGAGTTTTTCTTCATAGTAGCAGTGTGAGAGGTAGAGGTGTGAGACAGTTCGACAGCTGAGGATTCCATTCAACCGTATCGTTTATGGTCCAGTAAGTCTCCATTAAATGAAGACTGTAAAGAGCATTAAATAAATGCATTCTGTGGCCTCACAGGCAAGAATACTCTGTGTGATTGCTGATAAAAATTATAGAGGAGATACCCGTTTTATGGGTTCTCTTCTTTGGTGGATTTATGTCGCCCTTCTACCTCTGTCTGTGTAGTGAATGACACTGCATTAAATTCTTAGCCCTGGCTTTGGAGAAAAGCATCACTCTTAGTGCTGTTGTTACTTCTGCAAAGGCAACAGATCTTCCAGAGCATTGTTCCAAACCAGACCCCAGTGTTACTCAGTTCTGCAGTTATTGGAAATTTATGATTTGGGGTTAGGCTGATCACTTATTTTGCAGGCAAATACATTGTTCTGTTTTCTCCATTTCTTCTCGCATAATTCACTAAGAAGAATTTATTTTAATAATTTGCAGACTCTCTTAAAGCACTGCAGATCTGTTTGTTCAGCTCAAGGCTTTGTCAATGTATTTTTAAATGAAAGAAATGTGTCTGTTGGCAGGAGTTTGTAATTCACATTTAGTAGTGGAGTTCAGGCTAGTATGTTATGTTGTGAGGGATTTGTTAAATAAAGCATTGTGAACGTGAATATGAATACAAGTTCCAGTGTTAATTTGATGAATAGGCTGTAAAGAACAGAAAAATAATCTGTAAAGGAGAAAGATTTCTTCATAATAGTGACTGGTTTTTATATTTGCTTTAGAGAGAGTGTTTTCTGTCTCCAGAAGTTATCCTGCCTGGAGCTGTCTCTGAAGCAGGTAGCATACGCAGAATTCCTGGCACATGTTTTCTCACTGCCTCTGCCTGCCCTTTTTCATTTTATGTAGTCCACAGGAGAAACACCCACAACCCCAAAGCATACAAAGGACAACAGAGAGAGCTTCTTCCCAGTGACGCCAGCCACACTGCATCCTACCACAGTGAATCCTGATACTGTGGCTCCTGAAAATCTCTTGAGACTGAACGATCTGCATTCCAAATCCAAACCAGCCTCTTCCTCCTCATCCTCCTCAGCATCTTCGGTACCTCCATCCCAGGAGTTACACAGGGACACTGAGCATCTCCGGGGTCAAAATGCAGAGACTGCTCCCAGCGTGAGTGATCTGGCACGTGGTAAGTCTCAGGGAGACAGAATGTTTTGGCCCTCTCTGGTCTGTTTGCCAAGGCCATGCGGTGAGCCAATGCCAGAGTTCTAATCACTAGACCGCATTCAAAATTCTGATCACTAGACCACAGAGATTTTATCGTGGTCTTGAATTTGGCACATCTACATAGTTCATACATATTTGAATTACTAGCATAGATTAAAAGACTGACCACTTGCGTGCGAAATCATGGAACAGCAGCTCTTCAGAATAGTCATGTCTTTTAAATAGAGAGTTTAAGTCTCGAGTAGCATAAAAACATTTGGTTTATTCTCTTCAGAGATAAGCATTTAGTTCTTTAAAATACCTTAAAACTTTAAAAAAGTTAGAAGTGATTGCAATTGAAATAAATTGATGGACAACCTACATGTGACTGACAAGTGCCTGGTTAACATAATCAGATGCCTAGCTGTCACTGCCCTGTGTATGTGTGTGGAGATGCATAACCCTGTGAAAATTCTGAGCTTCTACATGGTTCGAAAAGTTAGTGTGTCATCACTGCTACTTTTCACATTTGAGGAAAGAAGCATCTGGCGGGACTGGAATGTTGGGAATATATTCTTTATAGCCCTAGTATGGTTATGTGCAAGGTTAGAGTACAGAAAAGGATTGAAGAAACAGAACAAATGTTATTTATTCTATAGCACGATCGTGTAATTTGTTTAGGACCGTGTTATGTGCTTGGCTGTATACAGTTTGTCTAGATGAGGAAGGAATGAAATGAGAATACTGTCTCTTTTTTTGCTGCTGCCATGGCAGGCTGGCTTGCTAGCAGTAGTCAAAATCACTGCGCAAGGCAGTACTGATCCACTTCGGGGAATGAAGTAAGATTAAATCCAATTTCAGACTTGTCTTGAGTGCTGAAAAGAGGCAGTTTTGCTTCTTTGTGGGACACTGCGCGTGTTAAGGTGGCAGGACCCCTGCCATAGCCTGTATTTTCTTGTAACCTTATCAGGAACACTGTCTGAAAAAGCGTCTGCTGCTGCTTTTGCTCATTCCATCTGTTCACAAGCTTGGGCCCTAACACTACTCACAAAATGCCATAGACAAATTTGTAGGAGCCCAGATAAATTTATGAATGAACCATATATGTACAGGTATTGTGAGAGGTGACAGCTGAGGATACGGTGGAAGTACTGCCCAGATTTGTGAGACTTAATGGCACATAATATTAATTAATAATGAATAGACTCTAGTCTATAGATCAGGTCTGGATGTTTTGTTAATCTCGTATTGTGACTTTCTGAAATTTTGATTGTATACTTCTGATATTTTATTTCTTTCCATCTGTAGTCAGCCTTGGCATCTGAATGCACATAATCTTCTGAAGTCGTCAGCAGTGAAGAGCAAATTAGGGAGAAGTCAGTTTTCCCAGTTTGCTAATCTCTGAGTACACGACAAAATTGAAATTCAACATCCAATATTAGAATTTGCATTATAATAAGTTTCCTTTTTCACAAGTCTGGGGAGAGATCGTCTTGAGGAGGGGAAGAAGGGAAAGGGGAGTGATAAGGAAGGAATGGCTTAGTCAATGTGTAAACCACGTTTGTTATTGTCCTTATGAAGCTAAAGAATGGAGTTGCATGGTGTCATAAGATACCTTGGCAGGCTTGTTCAACAGGGAGTAGTTCGTGTTTGTGCCTAGACAACAGGGGAGGAAAAAAAAAATGAGTCCTCTGAAGTTGCGGTACACTTAATAAACAGACTGGTAGGAATGGCAATGCAGATAAGAACTCACACATTCTTTTGATTTTCACAACCATTTCTAACGTGCTTTCCTCTCTGTGATTTCTCAGGCCACATTGCAGTGATTGGAACATTTATTTTAATCTTTTGACTTCTAGGCTTTGTTAGGGTTGTGAAGTTACATATTGTTCTTTCATGCTTTCTATAGATCATGTTGGTTGAGGGAGATGGAAGGGTTAGCTGCCAGAATTACACCCCTGAATCTGTGTCTGAAGATCAAGAGCCTCTCTCTGCAGAGCTCTTATTCCAGTGCTGAATGCATGTGTTGTATCTGGCTTTCTGGCTCTCAGACCTGCCTGACAGGTCATTTCTCTAGCTGAGAGATACACCAATTACTGCTGTGTCCTTTCTTGTTCTTTTCTTTTTAATTTTCCTACCTCTGCATCCACCTCCTCTAAAAAGACGTATTTGTAATTCCGTTATAACCCTTTTTCATCTGCCTTTCATTACCTGTTTCTGTAAAAACTCTTCCCATTTTTACAGTAATCTGGTTTCGTCCTTTTTGTCTCTTGTCACCTCCTCCTGTGTCTATTTGTTCCTGTGAAAGTATTCCACATCAGAGGGTATTAGCTGCTGTCGTTTTCTGTGACTTACCCAGATAAAGGAATGGCTTTCCAAGCAACTTTGATGCTATGCCACTCATTTCTTAGGTAAATGTTTCAGTGAGATTTTTGTCTAGACCATGACTAACTGGTACGGAATACAGCGTGATGAAGTCCAGAAGCAGAGTGATGGTAGTGGTAGTTTCAGCATGAGAGCGTCCTAAGTTTAGGCATAAATGTATATGGTAGTATTAGCCTTTGTGGCTCAGCCTGATATTTTCTCTGGGGAAACTAAAACAGGACAATTAAGGTAAGCCCTCTCTAGCCTGTCACACTGTTCCAGTATCATACTGTTCTACACTGCTGAAAAATCTTGACATTTTCTTCTTCTTCGCTATTCTGATAATGACTCTTACAAGGAATGAACAGCAAAACATTCACATCTGAGTTTTGGTACTAAGAGAAGGTTTTTATGCTTGGAATTGTTTAAAGTTACGTGTTTTGCTTAAAGACAGCTATTTACCAAATTGAAATATAAAATCTGAGTAGAAGAGTAGCACTGCCCCCTCTCATTAAATTTTTGTCTATTTAAGGCCTAAGCATTTCAATATAAAAACAAGGTCATGATATAGCTGTCCAAACTTAGAAATTCAGAGGTAAGGAAGACAATTCTTTCTGTACTGTGCAGGGAAGTTGCCTTCTATAAGCCATGTGAATATACTGCTGTCATTTCAGATGTTCATTACTTAGGCACAACAGGGCAAGTAGAGTTGTAAACATACTTCAACCTGTAGAACTACTAGACTTTCAGAAGCACAAGAAATAAATGTAAGTGAGGATGGGAAGGTAAGCAGCACTATTGCAGTAGCAAGCAATGAAGTTAAACTGTTTAAGCGTGTGTAGGCAGCAGCAGACTCCATAAAAGACAGATGTTCAAAATAAAGAGGGTTTTGAAATGATAAGTCCTAAGAAGTCAGTAATGATGCTGTAATGTGGCAGTTCATCCTGTAGGCTTTGAACTGAGTGTCAGTCATAGGAGTACTTTTAGGCGCAAAGAGCATCTTTTCTCAGAAGTCTGTGGCTTAGTTTATTTTAACAGCTGGTGCATGACCTTAGGTTGATCCTGAGTTCTCAGAAAGCTGAGGCAGTTTACCTAAGGGAGAGGGAAATACTGCAAAGAATTTGTCAGCTCTCTAATTTTGCATTGACAACACCTGACTTTGTATTAGAACAGTGCATGGCACAAGGGTTCACCTTGGTTCCCCACAGATATCCAAACATCAGTGGACATCCACAATCCCTGTTTCTGTCTGAGTGAAATAATGGAGATTTTAAGTTCTCATCTTTAGTTAGGTTTAGCCATGTACTGATCTCAGTGTCTTCTGAATTTGCTTGTCATAAATTTCTAAAGATAAAACCACTTTAAGAGCCTGTAATTCAGTGTATTGAAAACTCTGCTTACACAAAATGCCCAAAGTATTAGGCATGGCCAACAGCGCCATGCTTTAATTAGGGGTTTCAATTAAAACTTTCAGGTATGTTTTGAATGACTGGAAGTAGTAACATTCAACCCTCTTAATTGCAATCAGTGGCTTACCTTGTTTTTTCTGCTGAATTCAAAGTTGTACTTCAGAGCACAGAGTTGTTCTCAGCAGATGGCTCAAAGAAAGCTGAAGCACAGAAAAGGTTAGACTGGCCAAGGACCCGTGGCCTCACGTGAGCCCTCTTCGTGTTACTTGCCATGAGGACTCCCTCTAAAATGCCCATGTTCTTCTACTCTGGTTTCTTGGGTCACTTGTATGCAATTTACTTTCATTACTTTCTCTTTCATTTTCCTTGTTGACTTACTCTGGTTTTCAGCAGCTGCCTTCCTCAGTTCCCAAGGCTGAATTTCTCCAAGGCTTTAAAAACTCTGCTTTCAGTACTTGACACCCTGTACCTATTGTACCATCCTGGGGTCGGAGCTCCTATCCACAACGTCACTAATAGAAGTCAGCCAGGCTGCCTTCAGCTAGCATTTGCTCTCTCTGATCTCTTGCTGTTTCTGCCTCCTTGGCATTGGTGTTCTCACTTCCCTTCTCTGATCCTTGCTTTTCATGAAGCTTTTTATTTTGCACCATGGGTGCACTCTGAAAACAACTTCACTGCTGACTGTCAGCAGGGGGTTCCTGATTGTGAATGACTTCTGAATTCCCTCTTGCCTGGTGCTCACACAGTGCCAGTCAGTCGTGTCTTTTCCTCTCCCCTCTGGAAGTATGCTGATGTGCTTTGCTATCGCAGCAAATTCATTCCAGAAGAGTACATAGTGTCTGTTTCTGATCTTTATCCTTCAAATGTCTTTAGTTTTATTTGTTTGATCCAACGCTGTGCAGAAAATCCCTTGAAACCAAAACTGTTGTTGTGTCTGTGTACCACGTTAGATCAGTAAGAACAAACGGGACAGGAGCGGCAGCTTCCCTTCTGCAGCCTGCGAGGTGACGGTACGTAGCCGGGGGTTTAGTGCAGACTGGGCAGGTTTGTGGTCCGAGAGGCTCTCTGGCCCCATGCACCCTTAGATCCCCCTGAAAATCCTGGAGAGTCGCTGGCCTGTGGATATCTTACACTAACGGAACACGTTGTCTGGAGACCGCTTGTAAAGGAACATGGTAATGATGCTGTGTTGTTACAGTATGTTTGGGTTTCACTAGTTTTAGATTACTGCCAGCAGTGTAAGTTTTACATCTATTCCTGCAGAATTGCA